TTTAAAACTTTACTTGTAAGAAATATTGTGGTTAGACATGACTCTACCATACCATTCTAACCCCTTATATAAAAAATCCTAAAAGAAAATGTTCTCATATCTAAGTAGCAAAATAAACTTAATTTCTTCAAAGGAAGTATGACTTTTTTTCCTTGTGGAAAGTGGAAATTTTGTAATGGAACACATTTCCTTCTTTGCTTTCACTACTAGAAAACCCAGAATAAAATTTTGATGTCATCTTTAGTAACTGCATAGAACCTTACAGTGTATGTGCCTACGTGTTAACTCTTCTCACAGAAACAGATTTATCTTTGTATATTTTCCCAGTTTTAATTTATTTATACTTTAAAATATTTTTATTATTTTCCTGTGAATTCTTATAAACAACCTCAAATCCATAGCAGAGTAAATATGTAATTAATCCATACAGAGCACTGTATTATGCAAAATGAATTTTCCTTTTGCACACAGGATATATTTGTATAATACTGATACCAATGGAGAAAGAAGATATTTGCATTTTTCCCATAAAAGCAGAACTATGTGAATGACTAATCCTCAAAATTAAATATAAAATCTTTAGTGTAAGTTCCTTGAAAGTATAAAGGTTTCAGTTAAAGTGGGTAGCAATTTCATACTATTTTTAAGCTGGGAGGGTTATTTTTAATCCTGTAGAAACCATATAACCGAATATTTTATTGATGAGGAACAGCTAAGCCATTCACTCAAGAAACAAATCTATAAATATGGTATTTTAGTGAGCTTCGTATTATCTGAAAACAGCTCTTACTCAATTATAACAATAATCACCAGACTGCAACTTCTAAATTTGGCTCTTGAAATTAACACCTGGACTCTGGAACCCCACCCCACTCCAGGATTGTGAGGAGCGCTGTCGTCTGTGCTCTGTGGGTAGGGAATGGGCAGCGCAGCAAGGCAGGGCGCCCTGACAGGGCCACCTTCACAGCGCGGCAGAGTCAGCTTGCCCTCTGCTCAGGGCGGTGCGCGGCAACAGCAGCAGCCTGAAGAAATGCTTCTAGGTCACTTAGCCCATAAAATTTATAGGATGGGGGAGGGGATGTCTTGAGCTTCCCTGAGCCCAAGAATAATGCCACCTTTGATCTGCAGAAATGAAAAAATGGAGCTTTTTCTTTGCAAGTGGGTCTTAAATATTTCTCCATTAATAGTTAATGCACATAAAGACCAGCAGAGTGACAGCTCCCTCTGATTATGAATTCTGGCTTTGTAACTCTAGTACAAATAAGAGCTGAACTTTCAAAATCACGGTGGTTACTTTTGACAAATTAAATTGTCTTTCTTAAAGAGGTAGGAGGAATGAAGAGAAAGAGAGGGAGCAGGAGGAAATTCTCCTTGGAGATGATTCTCAGATTTAGAAAGAAAAAAATGAGAAAAAAGTACATTTGTGTTTCCTGGGCTGATGGTACTGCCAATGTTTATTAAAAGTAATTACAGAAGGTCTTGATTCAAATGTTGGACAAGACAGAGAAGAGGGAAGGAAAGATATTGGCAGTATGGCTCACTGTCTCCAAAAACAGAAGAAAATATATTTAAGGGAGTGGTTAGTTTTCAGTAAGAATCACGTTGCTCCTGGGACCCTGAAGTTTAAAATTAGAAAGAAAATGGTCTTAAATTTCTAACAATCTGAAAATTACAAGAAATGATATAAATAGAAAATCTACTTTATAGCCCATTATGATAGTAAGGTTCTAAATTAAGTCAGTGTATATAAATGTATTCTTTGCTGGTTAAATATAATTCCTTTCCTTTATAAGTTCCTAGGATAGTTTGCTGGTTTTGGATAACCATGATATCACAACAGGTACTCCACTCATGAGGTCTGCTGGGAGCACAGTCTGGGGTATTTATCTGTAGTTCCATATCTAGGAGTTAAGGTCAGATGACTTTCTAGCAGAGACCAGAATATAAAACAAATACATAAATTCAGGAAGCTGGTACTTAATGTTTAGGTACCTAAAAATCTTCATTTTCATAAGAGCCATTTTACTCTATTTTCTCTAACTCTGCATTTCCAAATGTGGACTTAAGGGCTGACCTAGGGCTGTGCAATGTGTATATTGAGGTCTGGGCATGACTATTTATGCCAGGTAAGGAGTTGTGTGATGAAATATACAGAATGCCTCTTAGAGGAAAACAACATTTTGAATTCTATGATAAAAAGAACAACGATTATGTCCTGGTTTGTAGTTGTGGGGATTCTACCAACACTCAGCTGAAGGTCTCTCATAAAAGTTTCACCTTCATTCTTTCCAGTAATACCAGGGATCATGAACTTCATTTCCATCCTCAATTTTTTAACTTAACACCATTAGTTCTATAACTGTATAAAAGTGCTTTCCTTAACAACATATAGAATACAAGTGCCAGGTATTTTTCTTGGTGTTATCAAGTGTTTTAAAAAAATGAAGGTGGCATGGATAGGTTGAGATGGATTGGAAATGCCATGGAATGGATTGGGTGTCCCGTTCAGTTGTTGCAATGATGGGGGTAAATGAATAGTAAATATAGCAAAAGGGATAGTCCCACAAACTAACAAAAAAAAAACTGTTTTGTCCCAAATGTCAGTGATGCCCTTGATGAGAAACGCCAATAAAGCATTGGCATTTTTCAGGCCAACAAATGTAAAGATTAAAAAATGACTGATTACGGTGATCTCAAATGGTACTGAAAGCCTAAGAAGGCCTGGGGACCCTACTGAGAAGCTTTACTCCTTCAGGAGTCTCTACAACCCACAGGTTCCAAACCTCCTTCCCTCAAGGCACCCCTTCAGTTAATTCCTGGAAAAGCAGACAAAAACAGAGGAATGGGACATTGAAATGGAGATTCTTGCAAAGACCTGATATCAATTCTCCTTCATAAATTTTTCTAATTCAGAAGCCACCCCAAGTTCTAAAAGCCTCCTTAGTTAATATCCTCAGAATTGCTTTGGAAGTTTCCAAACCTCTGGAATAATTTGGGGGCTTATATAAAGAGAAATCCTACAAACCTGTAGCATTCGCCCTTGGTTTCTAATTCAAATTTTAGTATTGCTTATAAGCCAAATGCAAAGTTAGTGTTAGTCTAATAAACTTAGATACGTTGGACACCTAAAAACCAAAAAAAAAAAAAAAAAAAAAAAAAAGATGACAAGACATGGTCACAAATAAAGAACTCCAGCAGGAAAACGTTTGGAAAAATACTACAACCCAGAAGCACTGAGTGGGTGGAATAATGGCCTTCAATGTGCCAGAATGAGAATTCTCAGGCAGAGCACTTACAAGGAAAGCATAAGAAAAAGACTGCACTTTTTGTTCAGTGATTTCCTATTAATTGTGATGTAAATTATATGGATGTGATTTTGACAAAGAGTAGCCCTGTTTCTGAAAAAAATAGTGGTTTATGTACAAAATACAAAATGCATTATGAAGAAAAAATGTTATTTGGCAGCTCAAGTGTAATAAAATCTGAGATAATGGCTTATGATTAGGTAACTTTTATATTATGTTTTTTTCCTGTTTGGCTCAACTTTTAATCATAAGCCTAGGAATAAAACTAATATTTTGCATCACAAATTAATATAGGTTTATACGCATTTTAATAAGTAATTTTTGATTCTGACATAAAATGTAAAATCACCTAGTTTTGGTTACATTTGGTTGAGATTGTTACTCTATCAATATGTTAAGTCAGAAGATATATTAGATAGTTTTTTGTTAATGTGGACAGCTATCCATACAGGATACAGCTAATAGTCATCAAACTGGATTAATGATTGACAGAATTCTTTAGGGAGTAAAATATCACCATTTGCTGAGTCCCCAGGGAGCTTATATCCTCTCTTAACCAAGATGATTCCCAGGGGACACTAATTAAACTCAGCCAGACCCTGAGAAAGTACAAATAAATATTTCTCTTTAAAGGAGTATATTAAGAAAAGGTAACTTAAAATGATAAAGATTGAAGAAGAAAAAAGACAACTTTTATTTGACCTTGAATGTACTTCTTATTCTATAAGAAATTTTAAAAAGCTAGAGGGTGGTTGTTTCTTGTCATTATACTGTTGCTGATTCTGTGGTTAGTTATTAATTTTATTTTTTATGATTCACAATCTGCTCTTTGAAATATGCCATATGCTCAAAGCAATTCAAGGATGACAACTGTCAGAATTACTCCAATAAAAATTGCCTAAATGAGGAAGATTTACTACAGTCTGATATTTCAGTGGAAAGTCCCCCTACCATCCCCAACAGCTTTTTCAGACACTGTGAATCATGCAACCATTTTTTTAAATCAAAATCGCAGGGTTGTTTTCTAAGAACTTCTAAGACTATTTAAGTGGAATTAGTAAAGCACAGTGGGCCAAGGGTGAATTGGCAGACAGGGAAAACAATATAGATAGTTATTAGATGTATTGCCTGCAATCAATATGGGAGTTCCAAGCTAGTTTTCTTAAATCACACACAAATGTATTGACTTAATATGACAATGTCTGCTCTATGTATCACTAATAAGCATTAAATTGGACAAGCCCTGTACCCTGAAAGCAGCAAGCCAAAATAAAGACAAATTTCTTTTTCCTCTGGGAAGATCCAAGGAGTAGATAGAATTTACCTGAGTGATCCAATCAAAGCACATTTTGTTCAGTGCTACCAGTCCGTTTACCCTTCATTTTGTTTCAGTTTACTTATTAATGCAGTTTTATTTATTGCTATTCATCTTGAAGATAAATCTTTGTCTTTCTATAGAATTACACCAAATAGAATGTGATAAAGGGAACTTTCTTGCAATTATGATGTCGGAGCAGCCTGTCAGCACACAGGGCATGGAAATGAGTTTGGGGACAGGGAAGAGAATTCTAATAGACACCATGATACATACAATGAACGCAAAGATACCGAGAGAGAGAGAGAGAAAGAGAGAGAGTCTTGTCAGGCTAATCAGATCTTCCACAGCAAGGTAAAGGCAAGAAGGGTGGCTCTAACCTTGTAAAGATGCTGCTGCTGCTCCTCTGACATCATCAGGTCGTGGCTGTCCATCACGAGGGACTCCATGTCAATCAGCCAATCCCAGAGCTCCTGATATTCTGAATCAAAGTCCAGAAGCCTGAAGATAAGACACAAAATGTATTATGCATAAATACAGTGTAGTTGTTAAAATCTCATATTAGAATAATATATTCTTGAAAACCCATGATGTTCCTAGGTGATACCTATAAAGAGAGCAGGAAAAATCTCTCTGTGTGGTTACAGAGTGAGCAAAAGAGGAATTCAAGCTTGAGACATAAGCTACTTCTTAGATTCTGAAGTCATAACATGTAATTTTGATGTTCAGACCTGAGATATATTATCACGGTGATTTCCATTTGCTAACCCTTTCTGAGAATTTGCAGCACTTGAACAAAATGACTCCTACCACATATTTAACAGGCTGAGAGATGGTGGGTCAGTGCCTTATGAAGGTTACATGGTCAAGAATTTTGGGTAAAAACAGTAGCCTCAAAATTCAAACCCCTTTCTCACCGACTAGATTTTCCATAGATACTATATCCCAACAGTTTTATGATTAAGAATACAAAGTTAACTAATTTCTCCACAATAATCATAATTCACTATCATACCCAAAATACAATTTTCACTGGGAAATGGATCAATCATTTATCTGTCCCTCTGCTGTCTATCTGCCTATCTCTACAAACATATATCCTATATTTATTGTCATGGATGAATAGCCAGCCTTTCAGCTGAACACTCAGAGAAAGGCTTGAGTGACTCTAGTAAGCCAGTGAGAACCAGGGGCAGATCCAGTATTAGACAGGTGCTCCCCACAGACATGTAGGAAACAAAGGTAAGGACAGGAAGTCAAAACAATGAATCTTTGAATAGGCACCAATCATTAAAATTCAAAGGAGGATCACTATGGTTTTCAACAAAATAAATCATTAGAATAAGGAGCTTAAAAGGATTAATGTGATTCTCTATTGAAAGCCCAGTGAATAAGTAAAGCCCAGATTCCTCTGAAACACTGTGATCAGAAAATGAAAGTGCAGATGAAAAACTGTGATTTCTTTCCTTCCCCTCAAAAATCATCTCCCTAAAAGAAATCATAGACTCTTGTCAAACTGTAACTGAACAAAACCCTATTTGTACTAGTGAAGCAGTAGCCTCAGGTATGAACCTGCATTTACCAAGTGAGTATCTTATTACTATCTTGTTCCTGTCTTCACATGCTGAATAACTGCTCTCCAAGCAAATGAACATTCACTTTTTATAACATACAACTTAATCTTAATAGATTTTGTCAAAAAATTATGACGTATCTGGCGATGGAGGACTAGACTCAAAATTGCCAATTTTATTTAAATTACTTTACCATAACTATAAAGATTCTTGATTAGGACCATAAGTAATCAAGGGTAAGAATTGTCATTGGCTAACACACAGAACTTATTAATGAATGTTTACTAAATGCTGATGATGGGTACAGCTGATATAGCCAAAATCTTAGTAAGGCTATGGTGGCCTAGAGCAGTGCTTCTCAAATGTTAATGTGCATATGGCACAGCTGCAGATCTCGTTGAGATGCAGGTACTAATTCAGTAGTTCTAGGGTGGGCCTGAGATTCAGCATTTCTAACAAATGTTAGCAATCGGCAATGCTACTGGCCAATGCTATTGGACCTCACTTTGAATAGTAAGGGCTTGCAGTATACATGTGAAATCTGCAAATATATATTTCAAAATACTATAAAAACAAACAAAAAAAACACTGTAACAGGGAAAAGTAAACCATCAGGCTTTCTTCATTAACTTGATGAGTGACTAATAAAGAATGCCTAACGAGCACTTGTTCATATGACAAGTACAACAATTTAGATATACCTTCTGAATTATAGTCATCATTTCTCTTTCCTTGTACCCTCCCATATTTTAATTATAAAAACAAGGGAAATGTGGAATGCCACCCCCAAAATTAGGAGAGAATGATCCAGAGGAATATTGAAAGGAAACGGGAAAGAAAGGAAAAGCAAACCCTTTCCTCTCAGAGGACTTGGGGAATAAGAAAGAAATAAAGGCAAGAGGAGCATGGACTCAGGTGTGTGTCCTCCCATCCCTTTAACTAAGACTAGAGAAAAGGCACATGAGATGGTTGGAGGGAAAGCCAAAAGCACAAGGATGTCTGCTCCACTTTCCTCTAGGAAGTCCGGGAAGAGAGCACCTTAATCAGTGTCCTCACAGTAACCTGGAGTGGTGATATTGGAGTCAGAGGGAGATCTTTGGTCAGAACTCCCTTTGCTACCCTGTTCTCTCATCCTCCCCACTCCCTATGCGCTTTCTGGAAGTTCAGCTGATGGACTTGGCCAAGGCACTGCACAATGGCCTCCAAGGAGAGTAGGAGAGGAGAGCGGCTCTGAAGCCAGACCTCAGAGTTCACAAGAGCAGTGAGGCCTGAGACGAGACCTTAGTCAGGAAATACCTCCTGACCAAGTCAAGAGATAACTACACAGCCATAGCTCTCTGCGGGAGGCAACCTCACAATGCCCAGGGTGAGACCCATTTCAATGAACCCAGCCAGCCTGCACCCATGGACCACATTAAGACTGGAGACTTTATTGCATTCCAGAATCACAAGGTTAAGTAATGCCCTCTATATGCTCTTTTGGATACTATGCATGTCCAAAGGAAGAGAGAAGAATAGGAAATCTGAAAAACAGCATTTATCCCAACAGTTGTTCTTTAAAGAGAATGTTAATTTATTAGGGGAATCTATAAGCATTGTGTTTGAAAACCTGAACATTGATCTTAAAGCAAGTTTTTTTATTTCTTGCTTTACCAGGAAAGTATGTGTCTCATAAAAATTATCAGTCAGTAAGAGAAAAATATAAAAGCTTGTTTTATTTTGCATATGTGTAAGATAAAAAAGAAACTTTGATTATGACTAAACAATTCAAAGGCAAGATGTGAATTTATTTTTGCATCCATAGAGCTTACCATAGTACCTGGTGAATGTGACTGAATTTAGATAATGAAACCAAAAACCTTTAGTAGGGCAAGAGTGATTTCAGAAGAGCAGCATCTATCTCATCCCCCAAAGCTAATACCGAAGTAACAAGGGCACAATTGACAAGCTTCTTCACTCACAATGAAGGTGAGATTTTTGCCTTTAGTGTACGAGAATGGCACATTTGCTTACTTAAAATGGTTAGACACAGTCGATTCTCAGTTAATCTGAGTTGACTTCTCATTCCTTTCACATCCTCCTCTTTTCTCTAGTGAAAATTAAAGGAGATTTAGAAATAGACTTTAAACAAATGAAAAATATACACAGAATAATAAAATGTTCAGGACAATGGAAACTTTTTCACGGCCTCTTTACCATGCCTTTACGTCCATTTAACTGCTCCGTCCTATTACCCTCCTTATAGAACAAAAGCATTTAATTTCTTCTAATTAAATGTGCTTGAGGTTCCTTCTCAGTCCACACTGGAGACCTGCAAATGGTGAATGAACCTAATACAGGTACTGTACTCATTCTTTCTCTAGTCAAGACTATTTTCATAGCTGAGAATATGTAGGCTTGAGTTTCTTAGATACAGCAAATGCTTTGGTTCCATTATTTTGTTTCATGAGTGTAGAATCAGCACTGGTGTTTTCCAAACAACAAATTTGCATAAGGTCCAAATACTGAAGACAAAAAAAATTTTTTAAGCATTTGTGCCTGATTTCAAATTCTTGGCCATGTGTTCATTCACAGCTTAGGAAAGACCTAACAGTTCTCCAAATTTAGAGAAATCAAATATATAACTTTGTAGCAAATCAGCAATTAATTACTAGAATTCTTTTTTTGGTTCTTCTGAAACCTTCTGAAATGACTACAATTTAATGTGCTAATTGTATCAGGAAAATTCTTAGGTAAGAATTTTTACTTTCTTATGTTTGCATTACCTAGAGTTCTATTTAGAAGTGTTTTTCAAGTGATTTTATAAAAGATAATGTCTTCTAGGAAAAGTGACAGCTACTATAAAGAACAACAAAAAAATCATAGATGAGCAAATTTATTAAGGGTAGCATGAAACTAGTTAACAGTTCTATATTCCTTTGAAGATATATTGATTTGATCAGCTGAATTCCAAACCAGGTTCTTTTCTTGAATTCCTGGTGACTCTAGTTTGTCTTTCAAAAAGGGAGAAAGAAGATATTGAAATTGTGGCAAGTAGCTCAGGATCTTGTAAGAGATATGACAATGGGAACTACTGTTTTGGAGGGGTTTTCCTCATAAAATTTTCTATGTCACTGTGCTTGGGTTTATGTCAACTCATTCACTCAAATAGATAATCTCCCTCTTGTTAAAAGGTCTCAAAACAGACCTTTTGGTCCTCTATTAATATGCTATCATATTTATGAAATTATAGAAAGCAAACTGATATTTACCCTGTGAAAGTGTTATAAAGCAAACACATCACAAAAATGGTATTCTTTTGGATAACTTTCCTTTAAATTGCTATATACCTTAAGGGTTCACAATAAAAGAGTTGGACATTTGTATGTATAATATTCCCATTTCAGGAGGACTAAAAGCTTAATCACATTATGAGGAGAAAAAGTCTTCTACCTCAAAGTCAGTTTTTGTGAGCTAAACATAGAATTATAATGTATTTATTCCATAATCTGAGAATCTAATAGAGAAAAGGACGAGGCTATGAAGAAATAAATGTGTCATTTTTCTTCAATGTTTATTTCTAAGTTTGGGTCAACTACAATGGGTAATAGCCAAAAGTATTTCCCAACATCTTGTCTACCATTTACTCTGCCTTTTTTAAAGATAAAAAGATTCTAGGTCTTTTACCACAGAAATAAAACATTAACAATCTTATTTATTATCATTTTTTCTGCATATTATATAGCAATATATTATTTGTGAGGTTGGTATAGTTGAAGAAATAATCCTTCCTCTAAACCCTGATGGGAGTTATGTTTGACTAGCTAAGTGTTTGAATACATAAATGCATTCAGCCTTTGGTATTTAAAGTGAGCATCATTAACTGAACATTTCAACTTAAACTTTGCTTAAAAGATAAAGTTTCACCCAAGTGAAATCAATGGGAGG